ACTCGGGTAAAAAGAATACACAGATATTTCGGCAATAGATAAAACATAGCGATAAGAGCGCCTGTGCCTTGAGTGACAATCACAGAGCGAAGGAGCTTATTTTAGTCCTGTGAATTTGTGAGGTGAGCTGAACCCCACCGATAGGCACCAGCTAGAAAACCTTAAGTCCTGGTGGCCCCTTTGTCTGGCCGGACAGTCCAAGTCCATAGTTGAACTTCTGGAGCCTGAAAAGCCTCGTCTCCCGCGGCCCCCGGTGCTAGTCTGCGACTGAGTTATGGTGTATACCCGTGCCAACAAAACATCGCTTAGGTCAGTCCTAGCACTTAAGTCTCTTTATTAATTTTACATATCAATAAAAACATAAAAAGGTAGGCTATAGTGTAGCCAGATACCCCAGCAACGTGACGCAAGAATAAAAAAAACGCTGCAATGAATAGGCAGTAAGAAAGACAGACAAATGATAAGAAGCACTAGGTACACATGCAATATGTGGTGTATAAAGAATCAGCTGAGTCTGAGGGCACACTCTAGTACATACAGTGTGACCACCCTCCAGATAGACTGCATACAAAGAGTTTTTCATATTGTTACATATATGAAGACTTTGATATATGTTGGTTAATATTAAAAGCCAACATTAGGAAAGGGAGCAACAATCACTACAGTTGTCTATACATATCCACACACATACATGCCATGTTTTCTGCTATGTATATGCATATGTATATATATGTTGTAGTGTTCCTACTTAAAATAACGGAACAGCATTAAAGCTTCAGTATGGAACTGGCGTCCATCTTAATCTGCTTTATTTTTTCACTTCATCCTCCTCTTCTCTCCTGCCCCGGCCCTCGCGCTTCTTCATCTTCTGTCCAAAGGCTCATACCGCTTCACCCTTCCCGCTTTCTTTTAATTACCCCTCCTGGGGTAATACTTGAAGACATTCCCAATTGAAGCACATTCAACAGATCCACGTTCACCAGTGTACCAGACAGTCTTCAAAATTCCGTTCTGGGTTGTTTATACTTGACTTTGTGTACTTGACACACATGGCATGAACGAACGTACTGACTAACGTCTTTCTTCATGTGAGGCCACGTAAACCTCTTGACCAACTTGTTGTAGGTACGCCAAAAGCCGTCGTGTCCTCCAGATTCTGGGCTATCGTGGTACAAGTAAAGCACTTTGGAAACAAGAGTTGGTGGGACTTGATACCGACCTTCCGTAAAAACCAGTTGTTCTGAGCCTTCCCACAGCTTCACTTCATTGATTTCTTCAGATTTTTCTGTGTTGTTTTGTACCATCAATCTTGATAGAGCATCTGCATCGGTTAAAAGCGGTCCGGGTCGGTGCGAGATGGTAAAGTCAAATTGCTGCAAGTAATTCACCCATCTGGCGATACGCCCTTTAGTTTGGGTCATATTCAAGAGATGAGTGAGTGCCTGGTGATCGGTGAACAAAGTGAACTTCGTACCTTCCAGGTACGTGCGGAAGTAGTCAACGGCCTTCAGAACCGCCAGTGCTTCTTTTTCCGTAGTAGTGTAGTTTGTTTCAGACGGCTTGAAAGTGTAACTGTAGTAACCGACTACGTGTCGCTTTTCTCGGCCAGATGCTTCAATACATTTTTGATACAACACTGCACCAGTCCCATAATGTGAGGCGTCAGTGTTCAATTCAAAGGGTAAAGTGAAATCTGGTATACGCAGAACGGGGTCAGAAGAAATTCTGTGCACCAAGTCACGGTAGACTCTCTCACATTCGTCACTCCATTCAAAGGGAACTTCTTTCTGCGTTAAGCGCGTGAGGCATCTAGTTTTGACAGCAAAGTCCTTTATGAAAGATCGGAAATGTCCTGCCAATCCCAAAAACACACGCAGTGAATGGACGTCATATGGTTTCTTCAACTGGGAGATCTTCTCGACGGACTCTTGTTTTGTGCTTTTGGTGTTCCCATCGAAGACTCTTCCAAGAAACACCACTTTTTGTTGAAAGAATACACTCTTCTTAAAATTAACCTTGAGATGTGCCAAGCTCAAGGCGTTTAACACCTGAGACAGATGGTCCTGATGCTCAGCCTCTGTTTTGGAGAAGACTATAATGTCGTCTATGTACACATTACAAAAAACACCAAGGAATGGCTTTAGGACGTCGTTCATGATCTTCTGGAACCACGCTGGCGAGTTTTTCCAACCGAAAGGGAGCCGGTTGTATTCGTAGAGATCGAATGGCGTGATAAAAGCGGTGTACATTTTTGTTTCTTCGGTTAGTGGGATCTGCCAGAAACCTTTGCATAAATCGATGCGGGAAAAATGTCGGCAACCCCCGGTCTCATCTATAATTGTGTCGATCTTCGGCATAGGAAATGGTATGAGTTCTGTCTGACGATTGAGAACCCTGTAGTCGGTGCATAATCTGAAGGTTCCGTCTTCTTTCGGTGCGATCGTTATGGGAGAAGCGAAGGGTGATACCGAAGGTCGTATGATATCAGCATCTAGCATCTCCTGCAACTCTTTCTTGAGCCACATCTTTCGCTCCCTTGACATATTGTAAGGTGCTTTCCGGATGACGGTCTTGTCAGCGAGTTCGAAAGGAACCTTGTGGGACTTCATCGCCTGAGGATAGCTTCCTATGCATACAAGTTCAGGGTAGGTCGTTGCGATATCCTCCGCGCACTTGACAACTCGTAGATTATCTTGTCTACCCTGATTTGTCTCGTTCCTTGCTACTCCTTCTACTAGAACCACATCGTCCCAGTACACGTTGATCTTTAGTTCTTTATATCTGGTCTTGATAGCAAAAAGTCGTACGTTACCCCCTCTATCACCAACACTTCGCTCTCTATTTGCTGACCCTGGAACTCGATGTTTACCAAGGCCCACTGATCATGCAACGTTACTTTTCCATCATAGCCTTGTACTCGTAGAATTCTTCCACTATGCAAGCGATTTGCATCCACCAGCTTGGCATTTATAATGGACACAGAAGCACCGCTGTCTACCAGAGCCATCATATGTTTGTTTCCTACTTTGACGGGAATGTGAAGTAGGCTAGAGCAACTTAAATAAACAGTCTCATTTGGAGTCATCGGGTGGGACTGATCACCCTCGTTTATTAGTTTTTTTCTGTCGAATACTCCTGAGCTTCAGTGTCGATATTATTCACTCGACCTCTTGGAACACGCCAGGGCAAGTTATCTGTGCGAGTTGCGAGGTGGCTCGGTTCTCGCTGAGCGCGGCTTGACCAGTCCGATTTACTCCGACTGAAACAGCTGCTTGACTCGGCGGTTATGCTTGTTTCCGAAGCTGATGGTATGTTCTGAAGACACGCGAGGAGGTCATCTAGAGTCTTTGGTGACAGTATTTGCACTTGCTTCAACACGTTAGTGTGCAATCCATGCATTATTAAGGCAACTACGGCCGTAGATGGAAGCAAAGGCTCCGCCAGCTTTAAAGACGGCGTTTCTCAAAGAAGTACTCGACAAGGCAGCTTTGCTCAGACTTGAAATTAAGCGCCGTGTTCCATCTTTCTACTGGATTGCTTCGGAATGCAGTCAAAAACTTTTTCCTCCACTGGCTCCAAGAGTCGTCACTGTCTTCCAGAATGCATGTTTCATACCACTTTCGCGCAACACCTCTCAAGTAAACGCGCATGTTGGTGATTTTAGCCTCATCAGAGAGCCACTTGTTTTTTCCAGCGGCATATTCGTAGAAATCAAGCCAACTTTCTGGATTTGAAGACACACCGTCGAAAGCATCAGGTTCTACGAAATTAGGTGTCGGTCTCTCAGCATTCAGAGAGCTTATAAGAGATGTCATTATTTGGTTTTGTTGAATCATCTGTTCCTGTTGCAGCTGAAAAGCTTTCAAAACGAGGCTCACCTCTTCCGTCGAAGATCGTGATCCTGAGTGTTTTCGACGCGCTGGTTCAAGAACTAGGTCGTTGAAGGTCGCCACACGCAAGTTCACTTTCACAGCACCTTTCCGTCGTAGTTCAGTAGTGTCTACGGCTGCCTTTTCCACAACCAGGTTTACGAGTTCTTCCGAGCTGAGCTCACGAGGTAGGTCTACCGCTGCTTCGTCTTGAACTTGGTACTTCGAAAAGATGATCTCCTCGGAGGTCTCGTCTATGAAGAACGTCACCCACATGATGGCTTCGATGGCCGGCTGCGCCAAAATAATGTAGTGTTCCTACTTAAAATAACGGAACAGCATTAAAGCTTCAGTATGGAACTGGCGTCCATCTTAATCTACTTTATTTTTCACTTCATCCTCCTCTTCTCTCCTGCCCCGGCCCTCGCGCTTCTTCATCTTCTGTCCAAAGGCTCATACCGCTTCATATGTATATATATATATATATATATATATATATATATATATGTATATATATATATATATATATATATATATATATATATAGATATATATATATACGTGTGTGTGTGTTTGTGTGTAGGGCAGCAGGAGACCGAAGGTGACTGGGTGTAATTACGTTCTGGTTCGTTACTGACACCGTGCGACATGACATGAGAGCAACTTTATTTGAATCCTGGAAACTGAGATAAAAACCTGACTTCAGTTGAACCGGTTATCGAGGGGGACGGTAGATCCCACTCGCTAATCTGCAATGTTGCCCCTTTGATTTAATAATAATAATTATATTACTAATAATAAATAGCTTATTTACCGTGCCGAGAAACAGCCATAAGGTCTTTGTCTAGGCCTACGCCAGAATACAACAATAAAAATAAATAGTACGATACAGTCTACAGAAAAAACATAATTAAAAAGAGCGACAACGCATAGACAGAAAAAATAAACGTTAAAAGAGAATAATTAAGGACATCGACGAGGATCATGGAGTTGCGTTTAAAATGATAATAATATTAACAATATGTATGAATAGTTGAATTGAGTACCTCTTTAAAATTCGTACTGCCTCCAGAGGCAGCACTGTCTCTCTTGATCCCACTTTCCCCATCTCCTCTGCTTCACTCTGCTCAGCTTGAAGAGGAGCACCTTCGACCTCTGCGCGAGTTCAGCCGCGTCGTCGTGGTGCGAGGCCACAAGGCGGCCATCAGCCGTGACCTACCACTCATCGGCACCGTCCTGGCCGAACGCGGATGGCAACTCAGGGCGCCGTCGTGGTTTCGTCGCGCTCCGCCCAACACTGGCGGCGGTGGCAGCGCTCCGGCGTACTCGGTCTCGGGGCTTGGATCGGCAGCCGCTGCTGCTTCTCCACTGGCTAGGCTTAACAACACTGCGGGCAATGACGGAGGTAAGAGCGCTCTCTCTATATGCAACAACTTAATTATAGACAGTCAGATCACTCAACTCTGCACCTTCACGGACCGAGCGCCCTAAGCCAGGAATGCGTCCTACCGTTTCCATTAGTCAGACAGACAAATGACTTTAATTAGGTCCTGGGTAGCTGGGTATGGGACTTACTATGCAGGCCCCTACCCAGGCATTGGGTAGTCCTTTGTCGGAACAAAGAGGCTATGCCTTTTCGCTTGTTCACGCGCTTTCCTGACAGCCAGGAACTGGACGTCTTGTCCAGGATCTGTGTTAGCCGTCATGCCGTCCTTTTGATTGAATGGCTGTAACGTAGAGCACTGCTAGAGCATCCGATTCAGCGAGCGAAATCCAACTCTACAAAGTATATGGGCAAAGCAGAATAATTTTGGCGGGGAGGATGCCCTGAAAGCCCCTAGAGGAGTAAGACCCCATCTGGAGCACGCAGCGCGTGCTAAAGTGATCCTGTTGGGCTTAATATTGGGGATGGGGGGTTCCCTTAGAGATACTGCATTGAATGACCGGTTAGAACTTTCGCTCTCTCCCTCTTGCTAATGAAGGTCGTTTAATACATTTTAGCTTTTTTGTTAAGGTATATCATTTTTGTGTGCTAGTCGGACCAACGCCTCCTAAAAAACTATGCCTGGAACGTGAGCCACGAACGCGCTGCTCTACCCTCTGATTTTACCCTCCTCTTTCGGTACGAAGGTGAGCGCCCCTGCGAACACAGCAATGCTCTCACAGTTGCCTCCGAGCAGCCGTGATGTCACGTGAGAGAGCGGTCTTGTAATGTCGAGTGACTGAGTGGTGCGGAGGCGAGCGGTCTTATGCAGCAGCCGGTCGCAACACAGTGCAGGAGGCATGGCCTCCGAGATTAATTGCTGGCAGGAGGCTCTTATTTGAAAAGAGAGCGACGTTCCAGGCATAGTTTTTCTAGGGGGTGTTGGCCGGACACTGACATTATCAGATTCTACTGGCACCGCTTTCACAGACTATTCCCCGCTTTTTATGTGTTTTCTATCACTTCTTTTTCCAAATTCTAAATACAAGGCTACCAAATGGAGATCTCTTTTGGTTAGCTCGACTACCGTTTGTTGGTCTTTCTCTCTTACACACCTTGCAGTGAGGTTACAAGAAATCTGTGTGGCACATTTCTCAGCACCCTGCCCGAATAGTCGTCTTTTCGCCCACTTTAGCCTTTTTACACGTATATTTCACAATTATTACAATACACATAGAACAGTCTGCAATTAGGAAGAGAGAGAAAAATGAAGGGAAAGGCAGGGAGGTTAACCAGATGCCAGAATGTGGTATGTGACCCCACTCTGTAGTTAGGGAATACGGGGTTGAAAGAGAGATAAAGACAAAACTGAATAATGACAAAAAACTGACACGCACACACAAAATCGATCCACTCAGAGTCGTTTAGACAGGCCAGTAGTTCGCTAGAAGCCTAGTGGCGCTTGCACGGCCTTCTTTTGCGAGGTGGAGTCTCGACGATGGTGGAGTGTTATATCCTCTTATAGAGCCTGGTTATCTAACATTTTGACTGTATCAGAAAAAGATTGGCTTTGCATGCTTTATTTCGGGCAGTCGCACAGAACTTGTTGAATCGTCTCTTTATCTTCACAGTGTACGTAGGTGGCGGTGTCGGCCATCTCTATGCGGAACGCATAAGCATGAGTAAACACGACGCCCAACCATTGTCTACAAAGAACAGTAGTCTCACTTCGTCGGAGTCTTGCTGGAAGTCATAAGCTTGCCGTAGGATAAGAGATCGCAATCTTTCATGCCTGAAATGTGAATCATTCTAATGTGACATGGAGCATTGGCGACCAAGCACGCGGAGCTTCCTGGGAGCCTCAGTTCTAGGGAGACGTACTGATAATGCTTTGTCTTCTGTATGTGCAGAACGGACAGCTAGTTCGGCCCATTCATCATGGACGATTCTATATAACGTGACGGCTACTGAAATTTAATGTGGTGCCCTTTTTCTGTTATGTGCTGTAGCATTTCTGCCGTCTCAAAAAGCAGCTAGTCATGCGAACCGCGGCGTAGACTTCACAGAATAGACTGCACTGCCGTCTTCCAGTCGCAGAAGATCGTCCACCATTGCATCCTCTGGCAGTCGACAATCAATATCTTGTATACGTTTTTGGCCTTATTAACTGCTGCTCTTCAGTAAGGTTATATGGAATAAGGTCATTGCTAGGAATTCGGATGAGCCCCGCCGTGGCGGTCTAGCGGCTAAGGTACTCGGCTGTTGACCCACAGGTGGCGGGATCGAATCCCGGCCGCGTCGGCAGCATTTCCGATGGAGGCGGAAATGTTGTAGGCCTGTGTGCTCAGATTTGGGTGCACGTTAAAGGATCCCAGGTGGTCGAAATTTCCGGAGCCCTCCACCACGGCGTATCTCATAATCATATGGTGGTTTTGGGACGTTAAACCCCACATATCAATCATCAGGAATTTGGATGAGAGATTCCGTTTAATTATTCTCTCTGACGATGCCTACATGCTTGTTTTCTTGTTTTTCTGCTGGAGCACGTTGATAGTGTGTATTCAACCTGAAAAGTGCGAAACCAAACTATTGGCAGTTTGCACGCGACGTCATGGACGCACAACATGGCTCCGATGACGTCAAGGCAAGATAACCACGTGGCGATTCACTTGCTTTACTGCGATAACGACCTCTACGGAACGCTATTTGGCCTCTACGCATGAATGACGAAAGAACCAGTATGTTATGCACCGATAACGCTAACGAAACGTCGCAGAGTACGCGTCCCACTATGTTAGTGCATTAACGTGGCTGTTTCAGTAACGTGTCAGTGCGAGCCATGTGTAAACGTGGTGGCATTAAAAAAAAAAAAAAACTTTCGCAGGAGGCGCAGCGTTCTTATTGTGAGCGAAGGAACAACTTGCAGTCGAACCATCATAGTTTCTTTTTCTGTACACAGAAAATGTGGGTCACTAAGAGGGTTTTTCGCCCCTTCTTATTGTTATTTTCAGGAAACGTGTTGCAGCAGCCCTCCGAGTGGGTGCTGCTATTGTGTTTAAGCTTCAGCGACGGGGACAACGGAGCATGCGTGGAGACTGCTGAGCTGTCTCAATACCAAGCGGTGAGTCGGGCTGTTTAGATCAATGAAGAAACAGCATGCGTGACAAGTACAGTTCCTTGCCTCGAGAACATGTCGGGAAGGAGGTGTTATCAGTGTGGTACAGGTGCGCCTGCCCTTCATGCGCTTGGAATGATCGTCTCACCCAGTTAACATTAAATAAGGTTTAAATGACCACATGGTTTGATGCAGTAAGGTACAAAAAAGGGGAGATGCGAGTTGAAATCAGAGCATACTTGGAAAACCAGCACGAAAACGACGGAGACAGAACACAAAGAAAGCGTAGGATAAGCGTGGTGTAATGACTGATTTTTTTTGCACAGCTTAACTACCTCAAACCCAACGCATTGCACGCGCAGGGTCCTTGGTCCCGTGAAAATATTGTTATGCATGTGTACAAACGATTGGTTAGAATATGACGCATCATTTCGGTGAAGAACACTTCCACGAGTTCTCGAGTGATGTACTTGTGCTTAGAAAAGTTGTTTCACGCTACTTTAAAATCGTGCGTATGCATGATGTTAGTTTCTGTTGTGCTCAGCTTTGCTCAATAAATTACAGTTGTCAGACGGCCCTCGTACCGTGTCTTTTTTTTCTATGTGTCTGTATCCTCTTTTGGGCTGGTTTTCAAAATACGGTATCACTGTGCCAAGTTGCTCCAACGGAATCCCGTATAGTGACCTATCCCGATGATGAGACATTGCCATTTATCCGCTCTTGTAGGTTGTCACACAGGTCCCGTTAAATAGGGAAGGCGATCGCCGGGCTAATTCCAAGGGCCGAAGTATCAGCCCCCCGAACCGCACCACGAAAGCGTGGACAATTTAGGAGTGGTCCTTTTTGGCGCGCCAGCGGACGCCGGCTGTGGCCCAAAGAACAAGTCAGAGCCGAGAGTTGATAAACAAACAAAATTATATTCTCAATAATGGCAGATCGAAAACAATATACAAGAATGCACACTCCACAATAGTTGCATACAATATGTCACCAAACAAACCAATCAAACAACGTACTACACAGTACAATCAGCCACTCTCGAAACAACGGACACAGACAACAATACGCACTGCAATGCAGTCGCATGCATTGAACAACCAAGACACTTAAAGACTAAAGAGATAGAAAACCTATTCAGTCCAAAGTTCTTGGAACACTCACTCACTCAAAGTCCAGCGTTGTTGTCGTTCCGCAGCCCTCGAAGTTTCTTTTCCAGGAAACCTCGCCGAAGTGTCTCTTCCAGGAAACCTCTAGTCTTCAATAAGCCACTCTCCAAGCTTCAAACTTCTTCGCCGGAACACGTCGGCTTCACACACGCAGCTGTTGCTACGCGTCTTCGCTCGATAGCGGTAAACACACGCTCTTGCCTGTAGCTCGAGCCTTCACCCCTCAGGTAGAAATCCTCTTCATCTCCTGCTTTGCCGCTACGGACAAAACCTTCACCGACTACACGGCGGGATCCCTTCGTGCTCTGGCGCTCACTTCCGTCTTCTCCTGATCTCTCATCTCGGCTGCTCGGTTAAATACCTTGCGCGCGACATTCCAGAAGGTTCTCGTCATTTCGTCGGCGCGATACGCAGCGAAGGCTGGGAAGAGGGCGAGACGGTTGGAATGCCCTCCGCGGCCGATGACTCAACTCGGTATGACCACGCGCCTTTCGTTCTAGAACTTTCGCGGGCTATCTCGGCCGCGATGTGGGGTGAGGAGGTTCGTCGGCGAAGCCACGCTTCCAAGGGAAGAGCGCGCGCCCGGGGAGCCTTGGATGTTTGTTTTCTTTTTTTTCTTCTGACCTCCCGGCGTCTCTTTCGCGCGTTACCGCAAGAATTTGGCGGCGCGCCCATATTAGCGCTCGTTCTGTGACATAGGAATACCTACTGCAACAGTGTGGCTGTCAATATTTTCCTTTCGGGAATAGCATTAGGCAGCCTTACTGTCGAATAAGCAAGGAGCAAGGTGACCGCTATCAAAATAGCTCTTTTGGAGAGACCGGACGCAATCCTTCTAGATGGTGACGTAAATAACCCCGGTCCGAGATCTCGTCAGCGTGATGCCCACAGTACGAAAACAGCTCAGACCAAAAAACGTCGGCTGCCCCCCACCCATTTTCTGTTGCTTGTTGCCACCTTTCTGGTCTCCTTCGTGCTAATGGGGTTTCTGGCTGGCAGGGTCAAAAATATCGCATCAACCCGCCTCCAGAGCCCTCCTCACCGTATGGGCTCATGAGTTCATTTACTACATTGTTGATTGTTCGCATTTGCGCGTTCCTTTGTTGCCAGAGGTTACAAATCTCTTCCGGCGTGTTCCCTTTTGTTCTGTGGCGTGGGAGAACGACGAACGAGCCTTTGCCTTTTTCAGAAGTCCACGCGGCGCTCCACCATTCGTCTTCAAGTGTTTTCTTCGTGGAGTAGCTTCCGAGGGAGGTCTGGAATCGTTCTCGTCTCGAGGTGCTTTATAAGTAGCCAGCACCACAGGAAGAAGGCGATGCGTTTTCGAGAATAAACGATCCTTTCCCTGTCGAGTCTTTTGTAAACCACGGCTTTGTGGAACCCATTTAGCTCCGGGCTTGTTTCGCTGTGCATGGCTTGTTGAAGGGAGTGAATGTTATTTTGCTTCTAAGGAAGAAACATTTGTTATAAAAAAAAACGTTGTCACTATGAATGAATCTCTTAGCAATATTTTTGGCTGTCTAACATTTCACAAACACTTCGTCCACTGAATATTTGAGTGTGTGGTGTACTAGTACGTGGTCGTGGTTTGTGGTTCCCCGTTGTGTGTAGCACGTTAGTACCAACGAACGTAGCACTCATTTGCTGCGTATTACATGTGTACTGCTACCTATAGGAGTCTTTTTTCTTTGTGTACCTCACATACTCGATACTACTTTGTGTTTTCTGTAGTTTTGTAGCTTATCGATTCGCTTTCTCCGCTATGCTGCAAACTGTTCGTGTTAGCTTTGGTTGAAGGCTAATCCTGCTGTCTTCTCGTTGTCTTATCGGCCGTCCTGCTCTTTGCCCATAATCTTAGCTGTTATTTGAATTAGCTTCGTTTTTGTCTTGCAGTTGTCTTTTGTATTCGGACGTTTTTAAGACCTTGAACGCCGTGTAGCTGTGGAAGCTCATTTCCAATCTGCTTCCAAAGGTTTATTTATATTTAGTGAATGTAGATACATATAGAATGAACTTTATAAGAAAATGCTTTGAGAGACAATATACTTCAGCAGCGTCAAACAATTAAAGTACAGATGCAGCGATTGGGAATCTATAGTTGCATTGATAATAAACACATGAGCATATTTATGGCGTTTGTAAAACTGTGGTCAACATGGCGTATTTGCGATTGGTAAAAAGAAAAATAATGCGCAAAGTAATCGTAAGTGGTGAGATTTAGCACGCGCATCGTCATTGTGTGGGATTAAGTTGTAATTGTCTTGCATTTTACACCAAACACTGGCCGATATTATTGATTATAGTGAAATGAGTCATGCGCCGATCAGGGAATTGTCATGTTTTTTTGTCTTGAAGCGTGGGAGAAAAGATACAGTACTGAGAACATTTGCCTGCAATCCTTTACTACGGTAACTTTCTTATCGCAGGTGAACAAGATCCCTGGCTTGAAGAACGTTCTGCTCAAAAAAGATGCCTTCTGCAACACCATGAATGACGCCAGAAAGATCCCAGGTAGGAACGCATGACTTATTGATCTTAAAAAAAAAAAACGTCTGAGTTAATTCATGGGTGAATATTTTCAGCTGCTCAGCATACCTTATGCATCGACTATTTGCGACACGACATTTTGACACTGAGAGGTTGCACATATTATGTTTTAATATTACCACACGTGTGCGATATTCATTATAGCATGACTAATTTTTTGGTGCGTATGATAGATATTGTAACCATATAATTGTTTAGAAATCGCAAATATTTTGGCGATGAGGAATTATCTGGGCTAAGAAGTGCTCACAAAAAACGAAAATGGAACACTGTTCAGCGCATTATTATGCTCCTGTATATGCTCCCGTATATGCTCCCATGTATGCAGCAAAAACAAAAAAAACAAAAATACTATATAATATGCTTGAAAGTTCACAATACGCATTATACGTAGTCAATGCGCTATGTGGAACAAGTGGCTACATGCTTCCTGAAGAGATACATATATTAACTTTAAGATTAAAAAGCGTATTGTTTCGTTCGGTATACTGAGGCGGATTTTTAATGCGAATAATCAAAATGCTTCGCTCATGGTGTAGATGTGCCAAATAGGCTGTTGATAACGATTATAAGTGATGCGTGGCTTTCTCTCTCTCTCTCTCTCTCTTTGCAATAATGAATAAGTAACCTATTTCACTATTTTTGAATGGTGTGTAACACATGAAAAAAAAACAGAGTTAAGTGGGGATAAAATCATATCAATTGTTTGTAACTAGACAGAAAGCACCGTACTCGCACAAGAATTACCACACGATTGGTTTTGTGCACAGATTCATCGCGCTGCTTTCCTCCCGTGTATATCCTACACACCAACACAAAACGGAAACACGCTTATATATTATATCGCTGCGGGCAGGCTTGCAATGATTGGCAAGCTGTACCGCAGGAATCAGCGACAGCGTTCGGCTTTAATTTAGTTCGTTTATCACGCCTTGCAGAGAGAAGAGCTCTTTCGCAACAGTGAGCATTTACTTGCGACTCAGGGCGATAAATAAAGAAAGAAATGGCGTCGAGGGACAATTACCGTGATGCATTTTCGCGCTGTAAACTGTGCAAGAGTTGCATTTAGTGCGATAAAAGGGCAAGAAAAAAAAGAGGAAGACCCCCTCCTAACAACGCACGGTTGAAAGAGCCGCAACGCCGAAACCTTCTGTCCCGCAGCAACATGGCGCGCAAATGTCGCGCGGTAACAATCTTCTCGCGAAGAGATACAGGGCCGCGCTTTCGATGGGGACGAGTCGATTTGCCGATATTGCTGCTTCGCTCTGAGCGTGCGAACACGGCCCCTTTGCTTTTGTGTGAGCCTCTTCAATAAGCTAATGCACCGAGCAAGTTGTGGGCGGTTTTCTTTTGAAGCTGCGAGCGCTCTTCTCGGTTCGTAAGAGAGATAAGTGTCACAATGGGAAGCTACTTCTTTATTTTTTTAGAGCTAGTAGTGCGCCGCATAGTTGCTTTCTTTTCAGGCTCTTACCTCCTTTTTTTTCTTCTGCGCTGTGGTGCCGATTGTTCAGGACTGTTTCAAACTTCCGGGCTCTCCCACTTTCCCGTTTTCTAGCGACGATGTTATACATGGAGGCGTACCACCTTTTGATCGAACGCGGGGGCCCGATATCTTGAGCGGAAAATAACGTGTGACAGTCGTGGAAATGAATAATGCGTACTACTAAGATAATTGGCTTCTGTGTCACCGTATTGTATGGTGCTACTGCCCTTTTCGAGATCTAAGTGTTTGTAAAGGAAACGAAAAAAATATACACTGCCAGGAAAAACAGTCTTTTTCGCTTTTACGACGCATCGCTTTAGATTATTCAAACACTTATAATAATGAAGAACTGCCTGGCTATTCCTGTGGATGCTTTTGAATCAAAAAACTCAATGGCCCTTTATGCGGTTCTTTATTTCCTGTTATCTACTTTAGAAATACAGTCCAAGAAAAAAAAGAAATAGAAAGAATCAATAAAACATCATTGCAATAAAACGTAGTACTAGCAGCAAACGCGGGGTGACATCAGTGGAGCATTTAGTACGTTTGCCACGATGTGTGGAGCTGGCCACTACTTGGTCCCGACGTTATAGCGTATGGCAAACGCCCGCCAAATGGTCCTTCTATCATTGGCTTCAACGCAACTCTTTCTACCACTGTTACTGCTGTTGCTATTCTACTAGGACTATAAATGGCGGTCATGGTTGAAAGACATTTATATGTCCAGGGTGCATTCGTTGTTTGTGGCACCTGTTGTGGAGTTTGACCAGAATTGTTAAATTGGTCTGAACTCTGAAGTGGCTCTAAACTCCGAGTCAGGCTTATTGTAGTTTCTCATTTTCATATGGGAGTTTTTTTTCCAGCCACTGTTTCATTCAGTTAAGGCGCAGGCTGCCCTCATGAGATAGATATACGTCGAAATGTCCAGAAGTCATGGGTGACGTTATTTCGAGAATAATGTCCCAGAGCGTGAGACAGCTATAGGCAACTCCGGGCTTCAGACCATTGAGGACTGTGCTATCATATGATCAACTAAAACTTTATCTCCGTTGCCCCACGTTGGCTTTCGACTAATTAGCGTAAAAGATGTGTGAACTATGCAGTACGCGCGTGTTTGTTGACGGTAACTGTTTCGCACTCTGCTTTAGTTTCAAGCTACCCATAGAAAAACTTTCCTTCCTCAAACGAAAACTTTCATTTAATAGTAGAGACCGACGACCCCTCGTTTCTAAATTGCCCTGTACGTGTACAATATTCTTTGTGTTTGCTGTGCAGGCGTGATGAAGGCTTCTTTGGTGCCCCTGTGCTTCGTGCTGCCCACTCAGTACCAGCAGTTCGTCAACGTGGCCGATGCGCTTGGCTACTCGGCGCACTGGATGCTCACACCGCTCGCCCCCGGAGCCAAGGAGAGTGCGCCCGAGGCACTGGACATCTTCACTCCGCTGGGTAGAGCTCGCATCCAGCAGTGAGTTTTTGCGCCACTAGAACCACTAACATCAGTTTGTAGAACATGCACGTGCTCACAAGCACAGTTCACTGGAGATGTGAAAAGAAGGTTTTGTGCCATTTTTAAAGCTAGACAGTAAAGGAGTAGGTTCTTTTAGATCAAGTCCGCTGACAATAGAGGCTTATAACAACCATTTATTGCCCCTCACCACAAGATCCTATCGTCCTCTCGCTACTGTCCCCTCGCCTTCGTCTCGCATCGCCCATGGTATCTTTCACAAGCATGGTGGGGCTCGGCGGTGGCACTTCACAACAATCATTGTGTCCCCGAAAACGTTGTGAATCAGCTGCCGCAGAACGTGCAGCGACACCTGCGGGCTTACGTATTGGCACCGTTTGAAGGGCTTTGACGTTTTTGTACTCTGTTGCAGTGGCAGCCAGTGAGCTAAGCAATTTAACATTGAAAATATTGTAAGCATTTGGTGAAGAAAATCAGCTATTTACGGCATGGGGAGGGTCGTGTGCAGTACTTTTCTTCTTTTTCAGGTTCGCGATACCTTCATATCTCGCAGAACAGCACAGACAAAAAAAAACGGACAGCCTTACTCAAGACATGCATTGGCCCCAGCTACCAAAATTAGCAGTTCAGCGTTGTTCTGTCTGATGCTATATGAACCGCTGTTTTCAGTGTTATAGCAGAACCTCGCCAGCTAACAGTACTATTCTAATTTATAACAAAATCAAAATGCTAGACCAATTATGAAATCTCCATGGAACACGTTCGTGTTAAAATACCTAAAAATTTCAGCTTTGTTCTCATGTAATGCAAACATTTACTTTCACCGATGGAGAGTTCGAAAATGAATGCTACTAAATTGGTTTTCTTAAAATCATTTCATATAAACAGTGACTGCTATATACGTCAGCATTGCCACGACGTGTGTTTCAAGGAATTTTTTCTGTAAGACTTAGGGAAATTTTTAGGCGCCACCATTTTGAAGCTTCTTGTACGAGGTAAAACAAAAGAAACAGGGAGAGAGAGATAAAGAGTTCCTCGACTCTTCTGAGTTCCTACTTGTCACGTATGTTAATCTCTTTAAGGGGCCGCGTTAACTTTCTTTGAAAAAGCGTGAGGCCCTCGACTTTCTGAAGAGAATATAATCTGCGAAGATAGTTCATGTGTCTCTTTAAAGAGAGTCATTTACGTGTCACGTCCAGGCTAAAAAAAGTCAAACAACTTCTTTTTTCTTAAAGTAAAACAGGGTTCGTGATAATATAGTCGTTGTTTACAGCTTGTCGTTTCAGTCGAGGCTTTACGACGTACTCTTCTTTGCTCTTTTATTGTCAGTTGATTCACTTCGACCCATAGTGGCATGATCTTCTCCCGTTACACCGATCTTCCCGAAGAACTCTCAACATAACCATGGGCGCCTTCTACGTACACGCCCTGGGCTCTTGCAACGAGCGAAAAGGTGTTAGCGTGGAGCAGTATTTCGCACATCCCATTACGCAGGTGTCACTGGGGGTTCCAATTCACTGAAGCAAAGTAACAAGCCACCAGGCATATAAAACGGAGCGTGGTCCGCGAAAAGCCAAGTCAGGATCATCAAACTCTGCGCGTAAAAAAAGAGTGCCAAAGCGGCGTTTGGGTCGCTTATTTATGAAATGCTCTTCTTTAGATTATTATGTTTTAACCTATTTCTTTAGCCTTCTTTTCTATCTTTCTCGCTGAGGACGTGTCAAAAATGACTCGCTTCATTGGCACGCGTATGCCCCGCCGTGGTGGTCTAGTGGCTAAGGTACTCGGCTGCTGACCCGCAGGTCGCGGGTTCGATTCCCGGCTGCGGCGGCTGCATTTCCCATGGAGGCGGAAATTTTGTAGGCCCTTGTGCTCAGATTTGGGTGCACGTTAAAAAACGCCAGGCGGTGGAAATTTCCGGAGCCCTCCACTACGGCGTCTCTCATAATGATATGGTGGTTTTGGGATGTTAAACCTCATATATCAATCAATCATCAATCATTGGCACGCATACGCTCTGTCCTCTTAAACCAAAACACTAGACACATGTTCTGGAGCCTCGGGAAAATACCTCTTTCGGTGGCCGGCCACGGCGGTCGCCTTTAGATGAGGTCCAAAAGGCAGCGACATATGTGTGCCATCTATTGGATAGACGTGAAAGACACACCGGGACTTTGAAACTATTTCGAATCTCAGCATCCCTCGCAACGCCGGTTTGCTTTTGGGACGTTTTGAAAATCACTAGTTGCGCTCCACCAGAGGTTCCTTTCTCGAATTATACGACAATAACTCGGTCTTGCACATGTGTGAATAGCGTCAAGTGATTAAGCTATGTTATCCATTTTTTTTGCTCTCTGTATTCAGGCATGAAACTTGTAGCATTAAGAGCCGTTCAGATAGCCCACGATGCGGCGGGAAGACTGAGCCTACTCGTCCCAACGTGGGAGAAGCCCATTCCGCGCTAGTCGCGTTTCTCAGGACTCAAACTAAAGTTCTTCCATACAGCCATCCAATGCGATGAGGCATTTAATGCTTGTACCCTACTTTTCTCTGTATGTTTGTTATTTAGGTTGCCTATTGAAAGCTAATAAGTACGGATTTACAACCATACACCTAATGAGCCGCTTTGTTCGAATACCATTATCACTAACTAACTAACTAACTAACTAACTAACTAACTAACTAACTAACTAACTAACTAACTAACTAACAAACTAACTAACTAACTAACTAACTAAATAACTAACTGACTAACTAACCAACTAACTAACTAACTAGCTAACTAACTAACTAACTAACTAACTCACTCACTCACTCACTCTCAGTTATGATGTCGCGTGTCCACCCCGGTGGTACAGTGGCTACGGTGCTCGGCAGCTCAGCTGAATGCCGTGGGTTCGATGCTGGCTGCCGCGGTCGCCTCTCTAGGGAAGCGAAACGCTAAAGGTGCCGGTACTGTACGATTCAGTGCACGTTAAAGAACACCAAATGTCAAAATTTATGGAGCTCTCTTTCATGATGTGCCTTATAATCATATTGTACTTCTTGCACGTTCTCCCTTTGTCTGCTTTCTTGCGCTTAGCACCCCAAAATTACGTCTTAAGTAATGAGGATGTGGGTTTGTTTTTCAGTCTTTGTTTCAGTAGTCGTACACTGGTGAGCACACTGTCTGCCCTCTGTATGTGCGCAGAGCTTCGACGAGGCGTGCTGTGGTACACCAAGCGCTCTCGGCTCCCTTGCTGGTGCACGGGCAGCCGGTGAGCCTGCGCGTGTTCGTGCTCATCACGTCGCTGTCTCCACTGCGTGCCTACGTGCACACCGAGGGCATGGTGCGGCTGAGGAGCTACCGGACGGGTCCTGCCTCGGCGACGGTCAGTGACAACCAACAAGGGTGGAAAGGTTGAACTTGTTGATTTTTTTTTAGCTTTAAGATTTATCCATAGTTGAGGAGGTTAGAAGTAAGCGATAAACAAAGCAAAACAAAAATACATTGTAACAACTTTTGCGTGAGCAAAGAACGAAGAAAGCATAGCTAAGTCAACTACTGGTATAGTTGGATACTGTAAGCTGCTTGCGAGGCTGTGGTCGTGTGCGCGAACTGTGGTAACAATTGTCGGCTTCACTTGGACAGCTCTAAGCGACCCTTCACGGTCTTTGTGCGTTTCTTCGAGCACAGCTTTAGGTGTTTTTTATCGTTCTCTCTCTTTCTTTCTGTCTGTCTCTTTTCGTCATGCCTACATTAGCTGGCCGTCAAAGATTATGTTCATTTCGGAAAGTTTCAAAAATACCCACAGGTCTTCTACCGAAAAAAAGGAAGAAAAAAAAAGTGGCCCTCTATTTAAATTCCATCGAGGTGTTCTTACCTATTACAAAAAAGTGACATTCATAGTATGATGTATAGACTTCCACACGCGCTCTTTTTTTTTTCGTTTTGTGTTACCGGCCGGCTGCACGTGAAGGTAATGCCTTGCGCACGCCGCACCATATTAATTGCGAATACTATTTAGGCTGTTTAGACTGAGCACGCAAACGCGGACAGCTGAATTTATTCGAGCGTATGAGCCACCAAAAAGGCTAGAATGTTCGAAGTCGCATGTACAAACTCTTCGTGAAAAATTCACTGCGCTCAAAGGTGGGGACGAAGTAAGAAGAAACCAAAGAAGACAATCGCTGTATTGACAAGCGTATAAATTCCTACGCACATTGCCGTGGATTTTATTCTCGACGGCCGACAACTGATCACGGCGCCATAAGTTTTCAGTGCGAATGGCTCTCATGTTGTAACTTCATTACTTGGGCAGTGGTTCGCCCAAATAACAAGTCAAGCTTGAACAAGCTGAATGCTTCTCTTTTTCTCAGTATCCCAACCACGAAGCAATACATTACCTTAAATCAATAATTTGCTCTCACATGCTCGGAAGAAATGACGGTCACTGGAATTCGCTAAGGGATGGTTGGTAAGGTGTCTACATTGGGAAGCTGTGATTCCATAGATAACAGTGGAATCAAGCCGGGCAGCTGCGTGGATATGACACGGCGACGTGGTGCAACAAACCGAGATAACACCACTAGCCAAGCAAAACAATGAGCATGCAATCAACGGTGGTCTCACCTAGAATTCGAGGCTGCAAACACGTATGCTGAACACGAAGGCTGAAACACAAACGAGAGCCAGAATCACCCTGGAGTGCGAACCCATACAGGAGAGTGTGGGCTGCTTTCTCCTCAGGAAAACAATTTGGTCGGGTGGGGCAGTCTCAACATTGAACTTGACCAAAGAGGACGCGTGTTCTTTTGTAAGTGTGCATGTAGCACAGTTTTTAGACGCAAAGATGTTGGTCTGTCTGTCTGTCTGTCTGTCTGTCTGTCTGTCTGTCTGTCTGTCTGTCTGTCTGTCTGTCTGTATGTTTATCTGTTTGTCTGCCTTTAACGGCACCCTAAACGGCACCTGAGTGGCCAAACAATACTCCAAACGGCTGACCCTATCCACAGCGCCCACCAATATTGCTCAAGGTTCAGTGCGATCTTCAATTAAAAGCAATTATTGCGCATATCTGAGGCACCATAACAACACGTCAATATTCTGTATGTGTGTCTCTTACTAGAAAAAGCATACATAAATAATTATAAGGACCAGTAGCGTTTATCACGTAGCGGTGAGCAGGCAACGCTTGCATGAGAAGGCAAGTGTTTTCAACGCTTTGCTAAAACGACACGGTGGTGGCACCTACCCGTCACCTTAGGTTCTACACGTTATCACCTCCGATATGGGCGCGCAGAGCACGCGCGCTTCGTTTTCCAAGATAACTGTCAGATAGCGCTCATGTCTCAGGTATGACGTGACTTGATGCGCTCGTTCGCTTCCGCTGCACTCTCGAAGCACTCGACCAGCAGCGCCTCCAGTATCCATTCACTAATTTTTTGTGCGGATAACATCAAATAAACGTTTTCTCCACTCTCTCAAGACGCAAGACTATCGTCTTTCGACGAGATTTGTAGTGTAGTGTAGTGACGAGAGGCCCACGGGACGGCTTTATTCTCTCCCATAGTAGAGTACCGAGTACTCTAAACTGTTAACCACTTTTTCTAAACACACATGCAGATACGAGACAAATGTTTAATGCGAATCATTTCTTAGCAAACTTCGGCGACATTGAGCGTATCTATCTGTCTAGCAGCCTACAACTTTCAGCTATCCTGACAGTTCCGATAATGGTATCCATACCAAACCTGGTATGGCATAACATGACTGTATGGAGAACATATTTGACTAGTCATAACACGAAAATCATGATATGTATGTCACGAATGTCATGATTTACATTTCAAGGTCCTGCAGATCTTGCGGTGGTTTTGTTCACATGACATGTTGCAAAACTGGTATGGTGTGGCATGATTGCATGGCGAACATAAGCAACGAAACCCTAACATGTAAATCATGACATGCGTGTCATATAAAAACATGGCTACATGCCACGCTCATGGTGCGCTCGCGGTCCATTTGGCTAGCTTCACTTATACCAAATATGGTATAACGGTACGTGAATGGATGACGAAGGTATGTGACCGGTGAAAACATGATAATCATGAGATGCGTGTCATGTAACAACATGACTACAATGCCACGCTCATGACGCGCCAGCGGCCATTTCTCTAGCTTCACTTATAGCAAATTCGGTATTACGGGACGTGAATGAATGACGAAGGTATGATACTGGGTGCAAACATCATAAACATGAGATGCGTATTATGTAACAACATGACTACATGCTACGCTCGTGATGCGCTGGCGGCAGTTTCGCTAGCTTCCCATGTACCAAACTCAGTATTACGTGACGCGAACGGACGACATAGGTAAGTGACACATCCAAACACGATAATCACCACATGCGTGTCATGTAACAACATGCCTACATGCCACACTCATGATGCGCACGCGGCCGTTTCGCTAGCTCCACATATACCGAATTTGGTGTTACGTGACGTCAATGAATGACAAAACATATGACTGGTGCAAACTAAATAATCCTGACACGCGTGTCATGTAAAACATGACAACAAACCATGCTCATTAGCCTTCTCGCGGCCGTTTCGCTAGCTCCACATACACTAAACTTGGTATCACGTGACGTGAATAGATGACGAAGGTAAACGACACATCCAAACATGATAATCATGACATGGAAGTTCATGTACAGCATAATTTACCTCCACCTCGCAACGTTGCGCTGATTTTAAAGTCGCATATCAACATTTTTCATTCGTGCTTCGCACATAATTGATTCCATTGTACGTGGAATGTGCCAATTTTTTCATTATGTACTTGCTCATGTGTAGCCACAATGGTTTTGAGCTAGTAATTGGTTTAAAGATAGATAGCAACTGGCTTGATGATCAAGAGATGACCAAAGATTGCACGAGCAATCACAGTGCCGAAACTGGGAAATAAGCTTAAGATAAAAGGTCCTACCAATATACTCGCTGAAGTAAGGATAAATGGCTAACAAAGATAACAAGAACCGAGGCTTGAGATGTTGGAAAACAGAAGTAGGCAGACGATAATTTTATTTACCCGAGTTTCAGACGCGAAAATAAAATAACGAGTCAACATCGTGAGAGTGGACGTTACACGCACTATACGCCCGTCACGAAGGCGACCAATGAAACCTCTCTTCCGCAATCCGTTTCGCGAGAGTTTTGTGAACTTTAATATGATTTTTTTCCTTTCACAGGTGGCTGTTTCTAAAATACGATTATCCTTTCTCTTTTCTTAATTTCCCCATTTCACAGAACCAAGGTGGTAGCTTTCTGACTTTACAGTTAACAAAGAAAAAGAGTTGAAAACAACTGCTTCAACGGTAAAAAAACCCACAGCTGCGGCAAGCAGGACGCTCTGACGCCAACTGCAATGACCATGCGTGTCACGCCTTTTTAAGCGCATGGGTGCCAAGCGCTCTAAACCACGAAGCGCATCAGAAAAACTTCAACCAAACATTTTCTCCGTACACGTTCTTGCACTCTGCCCACGTTTCTTGCCTTTCGTTGGATATCTCTCTTTTTTTTTTACTTTGCGCTGCGTGTGTGCAAGGGGTCGGAGATGTACAGCGACGCCCAGTACCGTAAAGGCGCTCCTATGTCACCGAGCGTCGCCATTTTGTACGTACACACATTAACAAATTTCTTACGAAAACGTGTTTGTGTTTTTCCTCCGAATTCTTTCTGTTAAAATTTGTGAAAAATTTGTGACAAGCGACTTAAGCGAATGCGTAAAGATTTCTGCGACGTGTTCCTAAAAAACTGAGAAAGGAAACGTTTTTCGAGGGAAAGAGTATAGAAAACCTGCACTCTGTGTGACCAGTTCCGTGCAGTGTACGGAAAGCTATGGTTCGCACGTTCTACCTATAACAGAGAAAACCGAAGCTGCAGTCTACCCTCCCTGTCCGCTTGTAATAATTCGCCATGCAACGCCCAGGGAATAGAAGCTTGTCTGCAGGAGTAACAGTGCAGGGGTAACAGGCTGGCCAGTTCATCTCTGTCACAACTGCGTAATCATTTGATCATTGTTGCTGACTCACTGACGCGAGCCGCATAGTCTTCGCTGCGTGGCATGGGAAATGTTTTCTGGGTAGAAGAGGAAAGTTGAGTTGGACGGTCTATACACGCAGAGGCATACGAGGCGACGATGATTTGGCTTGCGAGAAAACAAAGGGGTTGGAGGAAGGAAGAGGCGATGCAGAATCGCGAGGATGCGACGCAGCCAAACAGACGCACCGAGGAGCAGCATTTCGGGAAGAAAATGGGCTGGGATAGAAGCAAGAGCAAAGCGTGTAGGTCAAGGAGCGAAAAAAACTTTGCTCGGAGCGTGCGACAAAGGCGAGTGAAAGGGTGACGCCCAGAGCACCCTCCTTTCCTTGTAACGCCTACGTTGGCTGGGCTCCTGGACCTGCCGAAGAGAGAGGAAACGCCGGATAGAGGCGCGCATTCGGCCTCAACGCGATTTGCCGATTTGACAGCGCAAATAAGTTCGAGCAATTGGTCCTGCTTGCTTGCTGTCCTTTAGGGCACTTATTGTTGCGCTTATTCTTCTCGCGTAAGGACGTCTCCTTGTTCCCGCGAGTAAAGTTTGTGCTTCGCACGCGTGCGTATCGTTCTCACTCTTTCGAGTATCCCCGTTGCATCTCGTTCTTTCGACGGCTTCCCTAAAGTTCTTGTCCTAATGCAGTTTCTTCTGTTTCTGTATTACGTGTCTTTCTACTTTCGCCGAAGGCATTTCTGCACCGCGAGCACAGACGTGCAGCGTGTATTTGTGTGCGGGTCTAGCCTGTCTCCCGAATTAGCCTTCCTCACCCCTCGTGGCAATTTTTTCTTTCTTTCACTCTAGGGACTCCTTCTCTTGCTTTTACTTGATATTCTACAGGCCCAGAGAACGCAATCCTATTTCCTTCGCCGACGAGGACGAAAGCGGAGTGAGGGTTTTGCTTCTCATTTTCCTGTGGCCTTGCAGTGCACCGTTATCTGCCTGTAGCATATGTATTATGATCTGCCATCTTGCTTCTTTTTTTATCTCTTACCATCTGACTATATACAACACTGCTGCGTACCTGACCAGGCTGAGACGCCGCAATACGTTTTTTTCCTCTACCTTCTCGAACAAGAAAGTCTTGGTAACCGACTTGGCCACCTTCGTGGCTTACGGTTTTGTACGGGAATGCGGATATTGGGCGGACGTTCCTTCTCAATGCGACTTTCAGAAGACCATCCATTATGCAAAGATGAAGCGAGTGCTCTTAAGCGAAGTGTAACAGTAATAAAAAGAAGTACGCTACGCAATTCAGTCGACAGAAGTTGGGGCGAGTGTGTTCGCGCCAATCGAATGCTGTTATTGTCGGATGAAGATCGAAAGACGTGTTGGACGTGCGAGGCAATTGAGAAACAATGGAAGCTTCAGAGAGCCTATGCAAGGGCAGTAAATATTTTAGGAGAAGTGAGTCTTCAATGTGCGTGTCGGTAAAGAAAGCTGGCCGTATTGGATGCCTCGTCTGCCGGGCAAAAACGCAGCTCCGCCAAGCGGTTAGGGCTGTTTCTGGCACTGAATTACGTGTTAAAGAAGGGATTAAAAGTTGTACTGTTCAGAAATATGATAAATGTGGCGCAATTTTAGGTTCAGTCGTTGCGCCCTTCCAACGTGGAAATTATATATATTCCTTAAAAAAGGTTGTAGTACCAAGTTCGGTTTACTAACTACTTGTCACATATGTTACTCATATAGTTTCCTAATATACACTAGAGGAAACTCTGGCGCTAGTGTCTATAGGAGCTGCCATAGAGTTTCTCAAAATTAACTAGAGGGCACTCTGGCGCTGCGATCGTTCAGCGACGATGGGAATGATGGGTAGTACACACATTTGCCTAGTCTTCGTACTTGCGGGCGGCGAATCGTACTTGCGGCTTCGTTTATTGCTGTGTTTCGGTTTTTGTTTTGAAAGAAAGATTGAACCCTTTTGAACTTCGTGACCCGATTTGGAAAGGTAATTCGAAAAAAATAAGGCGGTGAGCGCAATTGCTGAACATTTGCTGATTTTTGTTTCGTGAGAAAACAGCTTCAAGCCACACGAACACACACGGACCCAAAAGCAGGCCAGAAGTACGAAGTTTAGACAAATGTGTGTACTACCCATCATTCGCATGCTCACTGAAGCGCCGTGCGTTGCAGCTCCCATAGACAATAGTGCCAGAGTTCCCTCTAGTGTATATTCGGAAACTCTATGGTAGCTGCAACGCACGGGGCTTCAGCGAGCATGAGAATGATGGGTAGTACACAAATTTGTCTATTCTTCGTACTTCTGGCCTGCTTCCGACTCCGTGTGTGTGCGGGTGGCTTGGAGCTGTTTTATCACGAAACAAAAATCACAAATGTTCAGCGGTTGCGCTGCACCACCTTATTCTTTCAGGCTCACCATTTCGAATCAGGTCACAAAATTTAAAAAAAAAGATTGTTCTTTTTTTTCAAAACGAAATAGAAACCAGAAATAAACGAAGCAGCAAGTTCGATGTTCGCCCGTAAATACGAAGACTAGAGAAATCTGTGTACTACCTATCATTCCCATGATCGCTGAGCGATCGCAGTGCCAAGGAAACTCTATGATGTTACAAACCGGTTAGTAAGTGAAGTTAGTAATGGGGAGGTTAGTAACTGTTACTGCCTCGAGTGTTATTAAGGCAGATCGTAATGGTTCCTAACGTAGGTTGTAACGGTTACTAAAAAAAATGTACTAGCCGCGATCATTTCACCTCACGAATCACCCGTTTAACAACGGTCCCATTCGTGAGTATTCATATTTCGACATATAACGGAGTAATTGATACATCAACGCACATAATGTCATAAATGGGAACGGCATACATACACAAGTTCACGTGACACGTACAGTCCCCAAGTGGTTCCAGGACCATTTATAGCCCTTACTACGGAGAACGCAGCTGGTGCTGGTGGGCGGATATGCTGTAAGATAGACAATTTAAGTTAGGCGTCTTTATTTATACAGCGTACAATTTCGTTAGGCGCACGAGTTAAGGCAGTGTAGGACTTTCGATCAAGCATATTATGAAAAACAATTAGTAATCTATTTTGCATAATACCGCCTCAACAAGGCCTAGTATACAAGACCTATGACTGGGTTCTAAGCTTACATATATTGCCTCAATGAAATTGAATGCATCCGTCAATGAGCTTGAATGCTAGTAAACAGGATGTTAGACGCTCGTAATAATAACCTTTAAGGTTTGTTCAACAAGTTCATTAAGTGTGTGCATGACGAAAGGTTAGTAACAGGAGGGCGCCAAACGTAGTAACCTTTGCAACCTTTAAGCCGTCTGCTAAGGTTGGTTGTAAAAATGTCGCAAAAAGTTAGTAATGGCCCAAGAAAGTTAGTAAAAGCTGCTAATACTAACTTTTTCCTTGTGGTTACAAGTTTGGGAGTACCTGCACCAAGTGCTGTATACCCGGGGCGAAACAAAGTGCGTTTGGAGGATGAGACGGCGGTGGAGAAATCGTGCGGCACTGTTACCCTGTGGTATCATCAGAATACCAAATGACGGGTCTACGTTTTATACAGAAGGATGTCCCGTCGGAAAACTCCGAACGGGGAGTAGCAGAACGTCTCTTTGTGAGAGACGATGTCCCTTTGCTTTGCATGCGTATGCAAAGTTGCACTTCCTGGGCACACCGCTGAAGAACTTTTTCGAAGCAAGCAGAAGTTGCAGTGACTCCAAGGCAGCGAGTGTTTGGCGCTCAGGCAAAGCGGAGTAAACGCATTTCTGAACAGGCCACATACATACACTCGCTAGAGTTCATTTGAAGATGTAAGTTCAGAATTTCTTTCCTTCTCACCATCTACTGTCACCTCTCAACTTATTATTATTATTTTGTGTTCAGTCCGCAAGGACTCTCTGATTCATGACTTGGCAAGTGCATCGTAAATCAGGAAGTGCTCTCTATTCTAGAGAGATGCATTTGTCCCCCCTCTGTTTCTCCCTCTTTCTTCCTTTTTCTAGTTCTTTCTTTCTTTCTTTCTTTCTTTCTTTCTTTCTTTCTTCCTTCCTTCCTTTCTTTCTTTCTTTCTTTCTTTATTTTTCTCGTTCTTTCTTTCTTTATTTTTTTTCTTTTTAACCTCAACGTTCACTGCGGGCTTCCTTCTCAAACTTGTGTGCTGCTCATCCATTCTCATTGGACACTGCGTATGCCTAGAGCTTCCCACGTCACGCCATCCGAGTGACGTTCAATCTTGCGATCAATATATTCGTTCGCGGGCGTTAATAGCTCGCAAACAACTTTTCGTGGTCAGTTAAGCTGACGGCTGGAAGTCGAGTGCTGGAGCCCAGAGCGTCACGCCCCTGCTGTGGTCCGCGCTTCGAGAGTTTACCATCCGTTCGCGAATGCTTGGTTATTAGACGATGAATGGAGTGGCAGTACACTCATATCTGGTGATATGAGACGCAGCATGGATGAAACGTGAAGCGCCCAGGGAACAGAAAATCGCTCGCGTAGTGACATCTCTGAAGGATGAAATGCCATAGATTGTTGCTCACAACAATTTAAAGAACACGAAACAAATGTTGTACCACTGGCTCACTAAACCGACTACTAATTTAAGGTTTCTTCTTTCCATTCCACCGTTTACCTTCTCGCATCCATGCGCACCAAAATTGATTTATGCGGAGTGCTGACGAGATAATTTTTTAAAATTGGAACTAGGCAATTATACCATGAAGTACGCACTCGGAAAAGTATGTAGGCGTACCGTCAAGTGTGCTTGATCGCCTCTCGTTGCGGAGTCGATTCCTTTCTCACGCGCAGAAAATTGAACCACCAGTGCAAAATTTAAAAAATGTACAACAACAACAACAACAACAACAACAACAACAACAACAACAACAACAACAACAACAACAACAACAACAACAACAACAACAACAACAACAACAACAACAACAACAACAACAACAACAACAACAACAACAACAACAACAATAATAATAATAATAATAATAATAATAATAATAATAATAATAATAACACAATTGAACAATCTTCAGGCCAATGAAGGCTCCGACAGGAGTCACACGCACAGACTATTCTGCACTTTTTTTCACAAATTTATTCTGTTTCATAACTTTCACTGTTTATTCATAAGTGCACTGATTTTGCCCAAAGGCATGTAAACGGGAGTGGGGGGAGGAATGATGGAGTCAGAGCTTGGAATAAAACAAATATTCGTCACAGCAAATAACAACGCAGAAT